TCTGTAAGTGTTTTTCTCCCCAGAAGAAGCTACAACGATGTTCTGCTGAGCTGCGGTGGCCTCATGGAGGGGGCCATCGTCTAGCACACTGCTGCTAACCACTAAAACTTTCTCCCTCTCCTGATAATGGCTTTTTGCTTTCCTTGACGTTGGATGTGCTACTACTAGTTTACCCGTTTAATTATAGATTCACTAGGATAAATACAATAAAGTTCATCTATCACCAAATAGAATATTTACTAAGAAATCACAATGTAACCATAGAAGCACTACTTGGTGTGTGTGTGTGTGTGTGTGTGTGTGTGTGTGTGTGTGTGTGTGTGTGTGTGTGTGTGTGTGTGTGTGCGTGCGTGCGTGCGTGCGTGCATGCGTGCGTGCGTGCGTGTGTGTGTGTGTCTTCTCGTTCCCCAGTGAGTCGTGGAGGATGGCTGCTTATACTGAGCCAGGATTCTCTGGAGGTTTCTTCCTGTTAAAAGGGAGTTTTCCTCTCCACTGTCGCTTTATGCTTGCTTAGTATGAGGATTGCTGTATAGTCACTGATACTAGTCAGTGACTTGATGCAATTTGCTGGGTTCCTTATATAGGAAACATTATTTCTGATTGGCTTAATGAACTGGCCTGAATTGGAATGTTTATTATGTGAAGTGCCTTGAGACGACTCTTGTCGTGATTTGGCTCTATATAAATAAACTTGAATTGAATAGTTTGTGTGTGTGTGTGTGTGTGTGTGTGTGTGTGTGTGTGTGTGTGTGTGTTTGGGGGAGGGTACATTGGAACTTTGCCCCCCCAGTTTGAAAATCCTATCTGCGCCCCTGATTGCACCCCCAAGTAAATATTAGATTTTTTTTTACAATTTAATTTTAATTTAACGTGTGGATGTGATAATATTTAACATACAAAACAAAAATAATCAGTAAATTATCATATAGATAGTAAAAACTTCAACCAAAAAGGGAAATTGATGTTAACCTTTGACCTCATTTTCCACCTGTGAACGAGTGAAAGGTAGAGCTAGTGGTAAGATGGATCGGGTTTGTTGCCCACATTTCCACGGGTTCAGTCAGAAATGAATGAATGTTTGGAAGTGATCTCAGACCCCCAAAAACCTTCGGATCTGGATGAAGAGAGTCAACCCTCAACCGCCGCAGCAGTCCAGGGTTTGGCCGCTGGAAATGCTAACACTAACGTTAGCCAACCTTGCAACACTATAGATGGTTTTCTGTGTGGCTGTGTGTGTTTATGATTTCATGGAAAAGTCAGTGATTGTTCATATGTTTATGATGTTTATTAATGATTGTTTCAGGTGTTGTGCACGCATGTGTATCTGCTAGTGTTGAAGGTGTTTTAGAGAGCTATAGGTACGCATGACCACTTCCTTCATAGCACCCTCAATAAAAAGACTTGCTCCTTCATAGCACCTGCAGAAAAACATTTCTGGAGCCGCCACTGGATGAGAGGCTAAATATCTCCAACATATCCAGAAACGTCCAGCTGTTTTCAGCTAAAACTCTCAGGATGATCACGTCCAGGATGACTGAGAACTACACCTCCATGCTGCAGCAGCATTCAGTCACAAACAGGAAGTGAAACTTAAACGTAGCTGCTGTCAGTAACAACCTAACAGATTTAAACATCAAATAGGGCTGCAACAACGAATCGATAAATTCGATGAAAATCGATTACTAAAAGCGTTGGCAACGAATTGCGTCATCGATTCGTTTTGTCGCACAACTCTTCCAAAAGCGCCCCCCCCCCCCCTCCCGCCCGCCGTTGCGCGCAGACCAGAGCAAGTCAGATCAGCGCGAGGGAGAGCCGCAGATCAGCGTGAGGGAGAGCCGGTAGCGGCAGATCAGCGCGAGGGAGAGCCGGCAGACTTGCGCTGCTGCGAACCGGTTCCTCATTGTTGCACAGCGATCCAGGCAGCTGCTTCCAGCGCATGGTCCATTCTCAAAGTGGCGCAACCAAAAAACTATAATTAGCACACGATCGTTCATGTCCGCACATGTTCTCTATTTTCTGTCTTATTTGTGCCTGAAGCGCGCTACTGCGGAGCTCATCACCTGTGCTGTGGTGATGTCACCTCACGCAGCATCGAAAACGCGCTCTGCGCTTTTCGGTCAGGAGATCCCTTTGATCTGCTCAAAAGTAACTGATGAGGTGAAAAGGTAAGAATCCAGGCAACAGATTTTCTGGAGAGTTTAGAGGAGATGCAGGAAGATGAGAGACAGACAGGACAGGAAAATAGTTCAATAAAAACAAGAAAACAAAGTAAAATGTAGGTAGATTTATCTCCACTACACGTTTTTACCAGTAAAAAACAATAAGTTATACACATGTCATATTTACACATCTGATACAATTCAGATCACCTTCAAAACTCAGTCACACACCCAGGGCCGTTTCAAGACATTTTGGGGGCCAAGGCAAAATGCCCCCCCTCCCCCCCCAATAACTGGGCTCCCCAGAAGCCTCTGTGTAATTCATGCCCTCTCCAGGAGTATTAGTTATACGGTGTTTATAAAAGCTCCTCAGACATCACTGACATGTTCTAATATTATCAGATGAAAAACTAAATTATCAGACATGCTGTCTCATCTGCTGCTTTTCTAAACTTGCAAAAAGTAACAAAACCATTTGAAAGCCACTATTTGTGGATTCTCTGAAAGTTTCCATGGAGTGTGTGACAACTTATTTTTTCATTGATCCTATCGTCTAATCTCACAGCTGAAACAAGCATCCTTAATAATCTGTGCACAGGAAGCTTACCGATGCTGTAGTAAAACAAAAGGTATAATAATTTATTATTAATAAAACCTTGTTGCAGCACTAAAGCAGAAAAATTAGATTTTGCATTAAATATGCAAAATATTTACATATGAATTGTTTTAGAGCCCTTTAATTGGCAGAATCTGATATTAATTTAGTTCTTACAAAAAATGGGTCCCAACATGGTTTGTGTGGCGTTGCCATAGTGTGACGTCATAGGCACAGATCCCTGTCCTCTTGCTTGGAAATGGAAATATGGTCACCCTACATTAAACAAACTGTCCACCCGGGCTTTTGCGCTGCACAGAGACGCTTCGCTGCCTACGACTGAATGTCAGTTGAGAGTCAGTCTCATGCAGACTAACCAATGAAGAGAGGGCCTCAAGTTAAGACCCTCTCCTCATTGGTCAGTCCACACGAGGTGGGTCAAAGGTTACTCTGGGCGGGTTACGTGATGTTAGGCATTCAATATTGAGTATATTTACTGCATATTACAGTAAAATATTCTGTATGTGACCACATTATGGTGATCCTTGGGTCGTGATGATGGAGCCCTTGAATATTGTTGCCCAGGGTACAACAAAGTGTTAATCTGGCCCTGGTTCCGCCGTCACATTCCCGCAGAAACTGGTTGATCACACCGGGGCCAGACTACTAGCATGTGGTTTTACAACCACAATGTCCTCAGAAGCAAAAACGCTTTTAAAAGGGAGGGAGGAGTCCTAACTGTTGCTGCAGGCGTGTTGTGTGAGAGTGCAGTTATATACTGGTTAATATATTTTTGGGTTCAGTTGCTTTCATGTGGCCTAATGTGAGTCTATTTGGGATCATTGGAATGATCAGCAGCATTTCTTGATGTGACTTTATGGCAGTTGCCCAGGGCATCATCGCAAGGAGGATGGCATTCATTTACTTTTGTTTTATTTGGTATTTTTTCAGTCATTTTTGGAAATAGTGATCAATTTTGATTAATTCACAGCCTATGTTTAATTACATTTAAAATAAATGTCAACAGATGAGATCAAACAAAACAGATGAGAATTGCCCTTAAGCTGTTTAACTTGGACCAAGCATTTTAGGTCACAGATAGATGTAGCTTAGGGTCTCTGTCTATACACCTTATAAGACAATTTAGGTGATGGCATGTTGTTTTTCTGCTATTGAACTGTTTTCTAATAATGTTGTGTTAAATAAAGTGAAGGAAGGAGAGAAATAACGTTTCCCTAGCAGTTTTTAAAAATGTCCCCATGTAATCCGATTAATCGTGTCGAGACCCCATCCGATTAATCGATTATCCAAATAATCGTTTGTTGCAGCCCTAACATCAAAACTATCAACAGAAATAGTTCAGAAAGGAAATTAAAATGTTATTTATTATTATTATTATTTATTGTGGCAGAAGCTGGTGTGGTCCACCGCAGAGAAGCTGCTCTAGCATGATGACTTTAATTATTCTACAGGTTATTGTTCAGCCTTCTGACGCTCACACACACACACACACACACACACACACACACACACACACACACACACACACACACACACACACACACACACACACACACACACACACACACCTTCATTTTAGCATCACACCGGTGGAACGCCAGATGAAGTTAGCCCTGCCTGAACTTTTTCACCCCTGACCTCCACCCTTCAGCCCTGACAGCTGCAGGTTCTCCACCACCTCCAACTAAAAAAAACTGCTCCGACACAAATCCACAGCCACTGAAATCTCCAGCTGAGCACCTGGCTCATAGCGTTACTAACAGGTACGCCATTTGTCTCGTTTTACAGGAACTACCTGAAGCTAAAACCCCACGTCTGCTCTGTGGTGGTGCTAGGTCACTGTAATGCTAACACAATTGACTAAATAACAGGTTTAGTTGCTTTTACTGTTTAGCATAACTTGTTTGGAAGCTAACGTGGCCCTCAATCAGTACCTAGCAAACACAATGCTACTGCTGTTAGCTTCTGAAAGTCTGATTTCGACACACACGACGCCACGACAGGGCCTCTTGTTTACGAACATTTTATAACCACTCTATCATCCTATAAATGACCAATATTAAATGACGACGGAAAACCCGTAAGGTGAGTTTGCTACCTTAGCCTGACGCTAGCCCGGCCTGCCCATCGGCAGGCCAGATTCACCTCCAGTAGAGAAAGACACGCTTCTAATTACATTCAGTGCATTAACACACACACACACACACAGAGAGAGAGAATAATACCTTGCGAACTGTACTTCTATTGTTTTCCTCCAAAATGAGTAAGACTGCAAGTGGCAGCTTAGGTGGTCTTTGGAACAAGATCTGCTTTGTTTTGCTCGCTCGTCGCCTCCCCTTATATCTAGAACTGTTGATGAATGTGCGCTCCCTGTTACCTCCTGGTTCTTGCGGAGGCTGCCTGCCTGGCTTGTGTCACTCGGTCCCTGTAGCGGGCAGTGGCGCCCCCCCGTGGCCGCTGGCTGTAACGGCAACACGGAACGTAACCACTAGAGGGCGACCTCACCCCACTGTCACAACCAAGCCCCAAGAGCATCTGGCTTTTTTTTTTTTTTTTTTTTTTGAAACATACAAGGCATCTTTAGTAACAATAAAAGAAAAACAAATAAACTTAAAAAGAGGCACTTATATCAGAAAGTAAAAACATTGTTACAAGATTAAACATTTTTCTGCAGCATGACAAATGGCTTTTGCAGTTGCATTTGAATTTTTTATACGCGTCAAAGTGGATAAGAACATATGAAATTCATTTGTGAAACAGTTCATGTTTGGCAGTTGTTTTTTCCATTTGCTTTTGTGGATGTGGTATTTACCCATAATAATAATAATGTTTATTAACAATGAATTATTCCCCTTTAATTTAGAATTGTAAATAAGAAGATCTTCATTTGTAAATCGATCAAGTTCTCTTATTTTATTTCTTAACCAACAATGGACTTCTTCACAAAACCTCTTACTTATACGACAGCTGAAAAATAAGTGTTTTGTTCCTTCAGGGCTTTCCTGACAGAATTCACAAGGGTCAACTTCAAAACCAAATCTCTTCCTCAGTGTCTGCTGATGGATAGTAGTTGTTAAGAATTTTAAATTGCATTTCTTTTACTTTGGGCATTATAGGCCATTTTATAAATTTTAATTGTTTTTCTTCAATTATTGGATTTCCTAGTATTTTTATTTTAATCTTTCTATCATAATCATGATAGATATATTTTTTAAAGGCTCCATTTAAAAATGTATTATCACATTTTCTTTCTGTGATGTTCAATCCTCCTATTAATAAATTAGGAATGTTTTATTTGAACATTAGAGAAGAGAATTGTGTTTTTTATCATCTGTATCAAAGTCACTGGTATAGCCTTACATACTTTCTTATATTCCTGAAGAGAACATTGAATGTTATTAAATATGTATTTAAAATTCTGTAGCTGTAGTATTTCACCATCTTTATCCATAATATCGTGTACAAAGATAATTCCTTGATCAAACCACTGTTGGTTAAACAAAGACTTTCTGTTTGAAACAATTACTCGATTATTCCACAAGGTGGGCACAATGAGGAGTAAAATTATGGGTAAATACCATCTTCCAATAATGCAATACTTGTTTGTGAAATTCAGATAATTTAAAAGGCAATTTAGTGATTTCAGAGTCACATTTCAAAAGAAAGTTTAGCCCCCCAAACTTCTTGAAGACATTTTTTGGAATATGAAACCAAATTGAATCTGTCTTTATTAGAAATTCTTTCAGCCACTTTGTTTTAAATGTTCCCAGCATTGCTTCAAAATCCACAGATTTCATGCCTCCATTTTTATGTTCTTTGACTAACTGGGATCTTTTTATATAATGGGTTTTATTTCTCCATATAAATTTGTATATAATAGCGTTAATATTTTTCACTGTTTTTGGAGCGATATGAAGGGATTGACATGGATTGATCAGTTGGGAAATACCCTCAGACTTGGACAATAAATTTCATCTAAAAATAGAAAGATCTCTGCTAAGCCATTGGTTCAGAGTTTTTTGTATTTGATCAGTTTTTTCTTTCATATTGATTTCTTCTCTTTGTTTTTCGTCTGCAACTATCTTAACTCCTAGATATTTTATTTCTTTTTTAACAGGAATTGACATTATCTCATTATCTGTGCATTCATACAGTGAAAGTAACTCACATTTTTTTGTGTTCAGACGATGACCTGATGCTTTGGAAAAAATTGAAATAATTTGTAATGCTTTGTTAACCATAGATTTATCCTTTAGAAAAAACTGTGTCATCTGCAAACTGACTTAAACGAAATTCATAATCAAAAAAATTTATACCCTGAAAATTTGGATGATTTATTACTAGATATGCTAATAGTTGTGTACATAAGATAAACAGTTTGGGGCTGATTGGACATCCTTGTCTTATTCCACAAGTTATATTTATTCTTTTTGTTAATTCTGGGTTTAAGGAAACATAACTGTTAATATCAGTATAGAACATTTTTATCACTGAACAAAAAATTTTTCCAAAACCGAAATATTCTAGGGTGGAAAATAAAAAATTATGTTCTATAGAATCAAAAGCTTTGAAATAGTCTATAAATAAAATGAGGCTGTCCGTTTCCAAAATAGACCTATAATCCAGCATATCCAGTACTAATCTCACATTATTATGTATGCTTCTTCCTTTTATAAACGCAGACTGATTATCATCTACTATTTCGTCAATTACCGTCTTCAGTCTTTCTGCTTATAATAGCGCTAATAATTTATAATCATTGCACAACAGAGTAATTGGCCTCCAGTTGTCTAAGTCTGTTGTATCTTTTTTTTGGTTTGGGAAGAAGGGTTATTATTCCAGTTTTCATTGTTGGGGTAAGACATCCTTCATTTATACACTCATTAAATGTACTTAATAACAATTCTTGATCATCTTCCCAAAAAATTTAAGAAATTCCGAGGTCAATCCATCAATACCGGGCGATTTCCCATTTTTCATTTTTTTCAGGGAATTTTCTATTTCTTTAATATTCAAATCATCTTCCAGATTTTTTTTTGTCTTCCTCTCCAACAGATTTAATATTGTTCTTTATCTGAGTGAAGAAGGATTTACATTCCTCCTCACAGAAATTAGAACTATATAGGTCTGAGGAAAAACGTTGAACTTCCTCCTTTATTTGATTTTGGTCTACTATTACAGTGTAATTTTTTTTTAATTTGCATATTTTCTTTTTGGATTGTCTAGACCAGGGATGTCAAACATGCGGCCCGCGGGCCGGATGCGGCCCGCAAGCGGGTTAAATCCGGCCCGCGAGATGGTTGTGTAAACTTTATTTTCATACTTTACAATGTAGAGTGAAAATAAACTTATCTTTGTGAGCAAGTTTTCTCTGTAATGAGATATAAAGAAATAAAACAAAGCTGCACTCAAGGCTCACACAAGAACTTGAATCACATCCTGAAGTTGGCCGCCACTCTGGATGTGACTTCTGATATTGATGTGCTGGTGAAAGCTAAAAGATGTAAAGTAAAATGAGTCTAAGTGCTGCATGAAACTGATCTAGCCATGTGATCTGTAAGCTCTTTGAATCACTAAGGAATGTTTTTTTTTATTTGTTGATTTTTTTTTTTTTTTTTTCAAATTTTCAAGTACACTTCAGGTGTTGTACTTGTACTACACTGTCCTCAGGCTCCAGCCTTGTTTTATATTGATTGTATTAAAACAAAGAAAACAATCTGAAGTTGTTTTTAATTTACCGGTCCGGCCCACTTGGGACTAGATTTCCCTCAATGTGGCCCCTGAGCTAAAATGAGTTTGACACCCCTGGTCTAGACTTTTCTAAACCATAAAAATATGTTGAGTTCTTTTCGCCTTCTTCAATCCATTTAGCCCTGGATCTTACAAAGGCTCCATTCGCTTTTTCTATATAAATTTCGTCAAGCTGTTTTTGGAGCAAGTTTAGCTCTGTTAGTTAATCCTCCGTGTTATTAACTTTATCACAGAGTAGGGTGATTCTTTTTAGCAGTTCTTTCTGCTTTAATTTTCTCTCTTTTGTCATAATTTTCCCATTTCAATTGCTAACCTCTTTGTTTCCAATTTAAACCATTCCCATTTTCCTTTATTTGACATATCCATCCTTTTTACGTTTTGACAAAGGGCTTTTATTTGTTTGCAAAACCCTTCATTTGATAAAAGGCTATTATTTAGTTTCCATAAACTGTCTGAAGAGCATGTTTGTTTTATTATTATTAAAGTTAAGCTTATTAAACAATGATCAGTAAGCGGAGAAGTAATAATCTCACATTTCTTTACATTGTTTCCTATGGAGTGTGAGATTAGCCAATAATCTATTCTTGACCGTTGGTTTCCATTAGAAGCACTGATCCATGTGTATTCTGATTTTGTAGGATTATTTAATCTCCAGTAATCAAAAGTATTAGTGACAGAACAGAAATCTTGTAAGATATCATTGTTTTCAGGTTGCTGACCTCTAGGTGGTAACCATAGACTGTACATACTGGACAAAACGATTCCATAGGCTCCAATAACACGTTTTTTGTCTATAATGGGAGGTGGCCACCACCGCCATTTTGACTGTGTCACAGGTTCCGTCCAGCCCAGACAATTCCATAAAAGGGAAGAGAGGAGGAGCTGAGGGTGGGGCTGTGAGGCTGGGATCGAGTGACGACACCCGGGCGAACTAGCTACGAGCTAACCTGAAGCTAACCCTGGCTAACCCAAAGCTAACGCGGAGGTGGGAGCCGGGCTAACGGATGTAGCCACCTAGCTTCAACCTTACCGGAGCAAACTGTGGAACACCCATGGACCTGAACCTAACACGAAGTTTAGGTGGAGGTTTTCGGCGCCTGTTCGTGAAAAGTACCTGGCTTAAAAAGTGTTAAATCGGTAAGTTTATAATTTATTTCCGTAATGAAAACATTTTGCTTTGAGCAAGTTTTCAGTACTGTATTTTCCGGGCTATCGCTAAATTAGCAGCCTAAATACATTTCATATATTTCCAAAACGTAATACTTGTTTGTATCTTGTACAGCCAACTAGCCTTTATTCTGGACTCAGTACAATTCACCAAAAGTAAAGAGACATTATACAGATGAAGTAAGCACAAGATAACTTACTGGAAGACACGGAATTATCATGAGAACCAGAACAAGACAGCCTGATAACAGTCATGTGAAAATAACAGTTAAAAAGTATGTATGTGTAGAAATAAAAAAATATATTAGAATTAGTGTAACTCAATAAATCAGCCATAGCTGATTAGTAAATATGACATGAGTTCTGGGAGTTTTTAAGTTTCATTCTTTTATTACATTTTTTTCTTAGATCTGTTTAAAGGTCAGCATGGCAGCCTGTGTGTTTCCAACATCAGCTACACAACGCAGCAAGTGTAAGTTCCAAATACCTGTCTTGACCACTTCATGTATGGTTTTGTACTTTAAACAAT